TAAAACATTTGAAAAGGGCTGGGGATGTGGCTCAGTGGTGGTTAATCATCCCTGGGTTGAATCCCCAGTACCAAAAAGAAAACAGGAAATTTATCTATGATTCAAAAACCAAGCTCACATCGGAAACCCGCCTCCTGCCCTCGTCCTCCATCCCCCTGGACCCACTTCAGCCTTCCCAAAGCTCCCATCTCTCTGGGACCATAGCCGCTGGTTTCCCACCTGTCCTTCCCCGGGGTTCGGGGAGCAGTGGAGGAGCGGGGGGGGGGGGATATCCCCACCCACATCCTGTACCCGCCCCCCAGGGTGCTCCCTGCACCAGGAGCAAGAGGCATCCCTGGCCTCTAGGCCCCTGCCCAGCAGGGTGGCCAAGGCTACCCCCGCTCCTGCCAGGGCTCAGAGAGGAGCAGTGGCTTTCCCAGGGTCACACAGTAAGGGACAGGGCTGGGCTCGGGTTCAGGGGTCCCACCTCCAAGGCCATCCCCTTCCGTCCCCCTGGTGGCTGCGCATTCTGTGTCCCCTGCACGCTGTCCTCCATTACAGAGGGCTACCTGCCAGGGACCTCAGGAATGTCACCGTCCTGCACTCCACGCCCCAGAGTAAATGGTTAGAAGCAGCCACCCATCTGCCACTGTCGTGGGCTAGGACCTCAGACGTGGAACTGGAGGTCACCACGTGACTGGGGAACGAGCCCAGGGCCTTGCGCTCGCTGGGCAAGGAAGGGCTGGACCTTTGAACCACCTCACAGCGCCCTTCTTTTTCCTCTTTCCTTCCCCAGCCCTTTTTGAATTTTGACACAGAGTCTTGCTAAATTGCTGAGGCTGGCCTTCAACTTGAGACCCTCCTGCCTCAGCCTCCCCAGTCTCTGGGCTCACAGACGTGTACCACCAGGCCCAGCTATGAAGTCCATATTGTCAGTCCTCAAAACCACACTCTCCTCACCTGCGCACCTCCTGTGGGCCATTTTGGGGGGCAAGGCCCCGTGATGTTGTCAGAAGGCACCTATAAAGACCTTCTTTTCTTTTATTTTTTAAAAAATAGTAGTAATTTTAATTGGCGTGAGCCCAATAAAATAATATTTACCCAAATTTCATACTTGTAGGGAACACACCACACAATTAATTCCAATAGCGTAATTAATTCAAATTTACATTAATTAAATTAAATTAAAACATTAAACTTGTTTCTTCATCTACTCCAAAGAAGTTCGGCAATTTAATTGCTATGAAACAAGATAACTGAAATAAAGAGGATATTTAACATACTTATTAAATGCCACTTAGTATTTCTGATTAGTATTTTTAGGGTCTAATTAGTGTCTAATTAACTGGCTATAGGCTATCTTTTCACAATACCAATTAAATTTCAAAACATCCTTTGTAAACACTCAGGCCTGAAAAGGAGAAGATTAAGCATTGTTACGGGCGTGAGTTAATAGGAGACGTTGGCGTGGTATTGTTTTATGTCTATAAATACCCGTGCTTATTAAAACTCATCGAGTGTAGCTTTTCGCCATTAATTGCTATTTAATCAACTTCAAGTAAACGAGGCATCTCTGAGGCCAGCTGTCATTGTGGGAGACAGACGAAGGGCCAGGAAACAGGGCATGGGGGTGAGAGAGCAGGAGGGGGACGGGGGGCCAGGGCGAGGCAGCGCGCATTCCCAGGTGCGGACGCCCCACCTCCAGGTGACTCTAAGACTAAATCCTGATGGGGAGCAACTGTGGGAGCATAATAAGAGACACCCACAAACCAAGTTGCCAGCCAAGGGGCAGGGCCGGTGGCCAGGCCTGCGATCCAGTGACTCGCGGGGCTGAGGCAGAAGCAGGTCCAGTGGGAGGCCAGCCTGGGCAACTGAGATCCTGTTTCACCATCAAACAGGCCGGAGGTGTGGCTCAGCGGCGGAGTGCCCCAAGTCCCACCCAGTACCCCACAAAATGAGAAGTCCTCAGTTTTATGAGAAGTGACCCTTGGATCCCTCTAGGGAAGAGCTGCCTCAGCCCCAGGGAGAAAGGTCAGAACCTGGAGCCTGAGCTCCCCCAGGAAAGGTCCTAGTGGAAGTGGCTCAGCCCCTGAGCCGGATCCCCTCCCTGTGAAGTAATGGCATCTTCTTAGGTCTGCGGCCATGCACGGGCCCGCACATCTTGGGGTTCTTTTTGAACAAGGATCTCTTCGTTTTAGTTTCGTACTGAGCCTGACAGTTACCCAGCCAGTCCTGGTAAAATGCCTCCCTTGTGGGGTCCCTGTTAAAATCGGGGACAGACACTCATAGGCAGCACCCAGCCTGTACCTTGCCCAGATTCAGAGGCTCAGGAAATGGAGCGGTGCCTCCCGGTGAACACGGGGCCACGGGCCTCGGGAGCCTGAGGGCTATCCCTTCCCGGGGACGAGGGACCCCCGGACCTGGGCTCCTGGACGCTGTCCACTGGCCCAGCCTCTTCTGGAACGTTCTTGCTGGCCTGTCCCCAGCTGATCGCCTGGGAGCCCGAGCAGGAAGAGGAGGTCACCATGGTGACGGCGCGGCCCAACTTTCAAGACAGCATCCACGTGGGCTTCGTGTCGGGGCTCAAGAAGTTCACGGAGTACTTCACCTCCGTGCTGTGCTTCACCACCCCGGGGGACGGGCCCCGCAGCAGCCCCCAGCTCGTGCGCACCCACGAGGACGGTAGGTTCCCGCAGCCCCCGTCCCTCAGCCCCACCCGAGCACCCCCGCCGCACCGCAGGGCTGTCCCTGGACGGTGGCCGCGCTCCGGTTCTGACTGGCCCTCTTGGGGAACAGTGCCGGGGCCCGTGGGACACCTGAGCTTCAGTGACATCCTGGACACCTCGCTGAAGGTCAGCTGGCAAGAGCCGGGGGAGAAGAACGGCGTCCTCACAGGTAGGCCCAGGTGCCCCTCTCCAGGGTGCAGACGGGCCAGGAGAGGCCAGCTGTCCCTCCCCCGGAGCTAGACCCCACCTGGACCCCGAGGCCCTCTCCAGGGAGGCTCTTGGCCCCTCTGTCTCCAGTCCATCCTGGTGGCTCTGTCCCAGATCCTGGGGCCCTAGAGGTCTCTGGGGCCTCAGGGGGCTGCTGTGAGGACGTGCCCGCTCTAAAGCGGTGCCCGCCCAGGTGGCAGCCCACCAAGAGCCTAAGGCCAGCAGCTCCCAGCTCCCTGGGCCCCACTGTTCCCAGCGTGGTGGGAGCTGCCGAGCTGGCGGGAAGTGGGAAGCCCAGCAAGGGGGGCTGGGGGTCCCCTGAGCTCAGGCCACCACGGGGCTCCCCCAGGGTACCGCATCTCCTGGGAGGAGTACAACCGGACCAACACCCGCGTGACCCACTACCTGCCCAACGTGACCCTGGAGTACCGCGTCACGGGCCTCACCGCGCTCACCACCTACACCATCGAGGTGGCTGCCATGACCTCCAAGGGCCAGGGCCAGGTGTCCGCCTCCACCATCTCCTCCGGGGTGCCTCCAGGTAGGTGGAGCCGGCCCTGCTGGTCTCCCGAGAGGAGCCTGCCGGGGAGCGCCCTGCCTGCGGGAATCCTGGCGCCCTCCCCCAGAGCCCTCCCCGCACTATGGTCCCGCCACCGGGGTCCTCCCCTGAGCAGGCTCAGCCCCTGTGGCCCCAGGTCTGTAGGTGGAGGCCCTCCCCCAGAGCCCTCCCCGCCCTATGGTCCCGCGACCGGGGGTCCTCCCCTGAGCAGGCTCAGCCCCTGTGGCCCCAGGTCTGTAGGTGGAGGCCCTGGCCCACGGCACCTCCCCGCAGTTCTGAACAAGGCGGAGGCTTCGTGGGCCTCGCACCCCACATGCCCGGCTCCCCATGAGGCCGTGGCCTCTCTGATTCAGGGGATGCATCACTGACACCCAAAGTCCAGCTGGCTTCCAGCCACGGAAGGGTTGGCTGAGCAGGGAGGCGGAGCAGGGTGGGTGGACATGGAGGGCAGTCTGGGGTCCAGTCTCAGCTCTGCAACCTGGAGCAGCCCAAGTAGCCCTCCCCCGTGCCTCAGTTTCCCCATCTGTGTACGTGGAGAGGTGGACAGACAACCCTGTCATTGTGTCCATGTGAGTAAGGCTGGGCAGTGGGACCTGGCCAGGAGATAGCTGAGGCACCAGGGCTTCTGCACTACGTAGGTCAGGGAGACTGACGGAGATTTCTGTAGAGCCCACTAAAGTGCCTCATATACATCAACCTTGTCCAGTCCTCACAACGACCCTGAAACAGGTGTCATCATCACCTCCACTTTACTAAGGCACAGAGAGGTGGGTAACTTGCCCAAAGATGCACAGCCTATAAGTAGTGAAGTTGGATTCAAACTCAGTCCACCTCCAGGGTTCTCAGTTGGCAGATAGGAGCTGCCTCCCGTCCCCATCTGTCCCTCTCACTCCTCAGCACTATTGAGTATGAAAGGCTTGGTAAGGGTGGGGAAGGATGGGGAGGAGGGGTCCCGTTTGGTTTCTCCTGAGCCTGACTTGGTTTTGTGCTGCCGCTGACTCCCTGGCGAGCATCTCACTCACACCCAGATCTGCCAAGGGTGGCCTCTGGCACAGGTGGCCCTGGGAGGTCCCCTTAGTCCCCAACCTGTCAGTTCCCTGCTATCAACATGGTGCCCCATCAGACACCCCGTATGGGCCACACCTCCCCTGGGACCTGGGGCCTCTCAGGAACAGAGACTCGCTCCACGCGAGTCTCTCCACGGGCGGGGAGCAGCGCCCCACCGCCCTTCCTGCCGTCCCCCTTTCCTAGAACTCCCAGGAGCCCCCACCAACCTGGGCATTTCCAACATCGGGCCCCGCTCCGTGACCCTGCAGTTCCGGCCGGGCTACGACGGGAAGACCTCCATCTCCCGCTGGCTGGTGGAAGCTCAGGTGACGCCTGCTGCGGGGCTGGGGTCGCGGGTCGGAAGCCCGCGGGTGACCCACTCAGGGCACAGACCCGGGCACCACCTCCAGGGATTCTGCTGGGCGGGGCCTCAGCCGCCGTCCCTGGTCCCGAGGCCTCTGCAGTCCCATTCGGGGGCCTGGAAAGATGCTGGCCCCACGCGGCACCCTCGCGGAGCCCTGGCATGGGGACCAGGACCTCCCCTGGGCAGAGCTGGTGCGCACAGGTGCTGGGGCTCGGGGCACCCCATCTCGGCGCGGCTAAGGGTCGCCCCTCTTCCAGGTGGGTGTGGTCGGGGAGGGCGAGGAGTGGCTCCTGGTCCACCAGCTCAGCAACGAGCCGGACGCCCGCTCCATGGAGGTGCCCGACCTCAACCCCTTCACCTACTACAGGTGAGGCGCGGCCGCGGGGCCCAAGGGTGGGGGGACGGCTGGACGGTCCTGCTCACGCCCTCGCCCCCACCCAGCTTCCGCATGCGCCAGGTGAACATCGTGGGCACCAGCCCTCCCAGCCAGCCTTCCAGAAAGATCCAGACCCTCCAGGCGCCCCCAGACATGGCCCCGGCCAACGTGACCCTGCGCACAGCCAGCGAGACCAGCCTGTGGCTCCGCTGGATGGTGAGGCCCCCCGGGAGCGGGCCCTGGGGTGGTGGGTATTCCCCTGAATCCCACCCTGTAAAGCCGTCTTGGCCTCAGAGGGGGCCTGCAGAGAGGACCTATCCGCCTTCTCCTGGCTGCTTTTCTTTTTTTTTTTTCTTTTTTTTACTTTTTTAAAAAATATACTTTTCACTTCTGTAGATAGACTGCCCGATAATCAACCATGGCTGAATGGGCCAACGCCCCCCAAGTGAGGGAGAGGCCAGAACGCTTTTTACTGAGCACTGGCCAAATGCACATTTAATCATTTCAGAAAGTATACAGAGGACACGTTATCCTCCCAATGTATAGCTTTAAAAAAAAAAAAAAGCAAGGCTCAGAGAGGTTATGAGCTTGCCTTGGCCACACAGCTCTCTCTCTCTGAGGGTCTGGACTGAACAGTGGGTCTGCACTCAGTCAGAGAGTGAGCACTTGCTGCTGAGCGGGAGGGGGCCAGGGAGATCATGAGGCTGTCACCCTGCTGGTCCTCCAGGAGGCAGCGGCATGACAGCTAGGGCTCCCTCTCCTGCCAGGTGCTTCATTCAGAGTCAGGCCTTGAACCTCAGCAGGCCTGTGGCAGCAGGCTGAGCTTGGTCCCCAATTAGCAGAAGAGGAAACGGGGGCAGAGCGAGGTTGGCCGCCTGCCCAGCACCCTCACACCCCCCTGCACCCCCTACTGGGGCAGAGCGAGGTT